AAGACTGCACATCAAATGGATTTGAAATCCAAATTGGGATTTCCATATCAATCAGGAAATGACAACTGTCTTTCATTTCTTTTCAGCGTTGTTGCACTTGATAGGCATGAAAAATCAAGTCTACATCCTTCGCCACCACCGTGACTGTAGTGTGAAACGGAAACTGTGAAAATTTTCTACTTCCGATGTTTTGAGCATACACTTCCAGCTTTTTAAGAAAAGCGACGAGATTAGCCAACTTGTCTTTAGATACAACACGTCTGGCTTAGCTGTTGACAGTTATTTTTCATGACCAGTTCGTAAAAAGAATGTGATGATGGTGTCCCTGAGTGCAACAAAATGGCGACGACAGTTACCCTTGGAGAGCCATCTAACTTCTGTATGCAACAGGAGAACCTGGAAATCTTCACAGTTCTCCTCACACAACTGCTGGAAAAGACGATCTTGAAGAGGATGCGATTTGCTATTGTTGACTCCTATTATAACAGTCGATATTGAATCGTTTAAGCGCTCTCGATGAATCACACAGTGAATTGTATGATGGGAAGTGAGATGGGCAATAAATCCTTTATATCTTCCGACTATTGTGGCAACAACATCTGTTGCACATGCAACCGTGTTCTGTATTGGAATGATTTTCAGTCATATGGATAATGACTACCTCAAATATAAACTGGCCCTTCGTATGCGTTTTAATTCTCCTGACAGACAGTAACTTCTACTAATTCATTACCATTAAAGAATAGGACAGATGCGATAAAATAAGCGTCGTTGTCAGGTAAAATAGAAGCATCTAAGTGTAATGGCAATATTGGACTGTAGTAAAGTAACTAAGGCGCTTCCTATGTCCTGGGCCATTTCTTCTATTCGCCTAGCTACAGTCAAATTGCTGAGCGAAATAGCTTGAACAGCTTCTTGTGAATTCATATTCCATAGGAGTAGTAGGGGGAGTTGAATGTTACAGGTAGAAATTCGTCACATCTAGACACACTCAGATAGTGAGCGGCGCTATATCACATCTAGTAACTTATTCACGATGGTCTTTGCCATCCCCCATAGCTCACTGGTCTTAACCACGGACTGGCAACAGTCGAGTTGCGGGTTCCAGCCCCACCAGGGTCCGATGGAATGTGCACTGCTGACGATTACCGAAAGGATGAAACGCTCGTACAGTACTTTTCCGGGTGTGTGACGGCTGTCCGAGTGAGTCTTGATGTGACGCATTTCTACCTATGAATTCATATTCATCAAGTCAGACAGTCTTATTTATAATGAAGGTAAGATAACATATTCTTTAACGTTATATGGATTACAATTTTTGGCAATAAACGTTCTGATTTTTTAAGACGTTTTAAGTCCATTCTCCATTTTTTGCCATTTCAGAAATCAATGTCTATGAAGCTGGTCTGTTTTCGAAACTAACCCAGAGCTTTCTGCGGAAAACCACGCTTTCAGCTTTCGTCTTTAGTAACACTTTCCAAATAAGTTTTCAGTTTACTTGACCGCATAGTTCCGTTTGAAAGAGAGTTTTAGCAAATTAAGCACATATGTAGAGTAGGGTTTTGTGGTGATGCGATAAATCCAAATGTGAGATATTCCACTGAGTAATGCCGATACCTTTTCTTTGCCGAGGAGCTCATGTTTTTGTAAATTACTCATAGGTTTATATATATATAGCTTTACTTTATTATTTTACATAATTTTACCAGTAGTATTAAATAATATTATTCGACAAGACGAAACACACAGATTGCATGCATTATTGGTGGTACTAAATTTATTCTTGCTTGACCGTGAGATTATAAGCTAAGATATTTGGTAAGCATATTGTAACATCTGTCAGTGGCTACAGTGTTAAAATATAAAAGTGTATAAACAATGTTAGAGGCGACCCAAAAGCCGTTTCTGTGGATGACATTGAAAATAGCGTGGGTAGCTAAAATGACTGGAGAGAAGTTTTTGACGAAAGCCAATGAAGAAAACAAACAAATAGAACTTAAAATATGGCAATGCTCACTGGATGCACACTCAGTACAGGAAAGTTGGAGTGCAAAAGGTGGACTGGTAAACTGAAGAGCAAAAGAGACAAACACGGAAGAACATACCGGATAGTGCAAGAAACGGGGACGGGAGAGTCAACAACGAAAATAATAACGTACATCGGCTATTGCCAAGCATGGCGCCCAACGCTTGCTGGCAAGGCATTTGATTAGTACGAGTATTAGGATAAGTATCCGTATGCATACATTAGGTTATATATACTCACCAAACCCGGATGCCCCCACGTATGATGTTAGTTGGCAAAAACGCTCGCTAATTCGAAAAATTCAGCTGAACTACATATTAAGAAAGCGCTATAATGCGTCCAAGTCTTTTTCAACTCGTAGTCGAAACGAAGGAGTGATTTTCAGAGATAGTACCCCGAATTCGGAATTTTTCGGGCTGACGTGACCTAGCCACCAGAGGTACACGCGAACTGAGATTGGAGATGAAAAACACGTGACGTAATGCTACCGCACGGGATCCGAACGATAGCGATTGACCGACACATGAGTGATAGTGTCTTGAGGGAAATTCAATTAGCGCCGCAATGTTCCGACGAGAGTCCGCTAGGCTCACTGCAGCTTGCACAGTAGATGCACCAGTGTCCTGATTAAAGCTCTGTTGGTTCACTGTGGATAGCCATCAAAGTCCAGAGAACGACTCGGTTGTTAGTTGAGCAATCTAAATCGCCGTATGGAGATTGTGTGTTTGAGGTGATCCCGGCCAAATCTGAACAAATTTGGCGGAGCTATGCAAGCTCCGTAACACAAAGTCTACCCCGTCTGATTTTCACACCTCGTTAACAACCACTTGCGGGCGCCTAACTCATTTCACTGACCGGTAATTTCCATGGGAGGATAGTGCGCAGAGAGGAACTCACGGCAACCATTTAAACGGAAGTTTGTTAGTTGTGTTAGCACAACCAACTTTTCACAGCATGGCCCCCCTGAGGCCCTGCTAAAACGCTTTCTCATCACATGGCCACCCGGGAAATCTCTATGCCCCAAAGTCGGGCCACATGGCTCTCGTGGAGTGTGGCTGCATTAGAGTATCGTTTTAGGATAGTATTTAAGGCATTGAATGAGTCATTTGCCTGAGTCTGGTGTCCTGTGTCAACCAAGTGCTCAAGTACCCAACTGTTGATGCTCCTTACGGTTCCTTTTCCTTGCGAAGCCGGGCAATGTTCAGTGATACTTTTGGACAGGCGCTTGGTCAAATGTCCGAGTTAGCTTGCACCGCAGGTGTAAGGTGCAGGTGCAGGGGCGCCGAAGTGCCAACTGGCGTCCTCCAGTGGTTGGCCAGAGCTGGACCCAAATGGATCACGTTGCCATAAGTTGCAGGTGGTGTAGTTCCAGCCTGGATTGCCGCTCGTTCTCTAACACCTGTGGAGACTCAGATCATGCATCATCATCATCATCATTATACATGTTAGCTAGAGGTGGGGAACACCTCAGCTACTGTGCCGCAATATATAGAAAAAAGGAGAAGAAAAGAATGCAAATGGTGCAAGCCGGCTGAGCTACCGGTAACGGATGGGCATCGTTCCGGTAAGATACCAGCCGGCTACTGTGCATCAAAAAAATTAATTTGTTAAATAATATAAGACTAACTAATGAGATCGTGGTTGGTGGGGGAGGCTAAGTGGGATGGGGTGGGACAAAGAAACTCACAGCACGAACGCCACTGAGATCGGCTCCTAGCCATATCAGCAAGTGTGTCCAACCAAACGTGTTCATCGTTTTCGGACCCCAACCAGGGAGCCGAGACGCTCCAACCGAGGCCAGCTCAGAAGTGAGGGCCTTCATTCCCCTGGACCAAGTCATCGCTTGGCCACCCCTCCTCTTCTTCCATCCACACCCCCGGCGCGCAAACAACGCACGTCGCGGAAGTCGGTGGGCTGGCATGCATAACACGTGGCCGGGCCATCGGAGCCTGATGAGTGAAATGACGGTGCTGAGCGGTTCAGTTCCTTTTCCTGTACCATAAACAAGGCGTCGAACACGCTCGTTGCTCAGGCGGTGTTCCCACCAAATGTGAGCTAAATTACGAAGGCACCGGTGGTCTAACGTAACTAGCCTCTTCAGGTCCGCTGCTTTAAGCGGCCAGGTTTCACAACCGTACAGTAGGGTCGAACGTTCTGCTGCGTTGTACACTATACCCTTCAGGGCAAGAGTGATGTCGCGCCGGCGTCATAAGTGGCGAAGGTTAGCAAAAGCGCCCCGAGCTTTTGCTATACGGTTCGTGATCTCATCCTCAATCCCACTGGCGCTGATACAACTTCCCAGGTAGTTGAATTTTGAACGACTTCTAGCTGATCTCCACCAATGGTCAGCGTAGGAAGTGATTCAGACCAACCTTGGAGAAACGCTTTGCACTTCGAGGGTGCGAAGTAAAGCCCGAAGTGACGGACAGCTAGTGCTAATCTGTCCAGGGCCGCTTGACACGTTTGTGAGCTGTCACAGATTAGGGCAATATCATCAGCATACTCAAAGTCAAGAAGTCGTTCTCCTGGGAGCAGATCCACACCTGCTAAGTCGTGTCCTGTGAACGCGATTTCCATGACTTCGTCAACAGCGAAGTTGAAGAGCGAAAGGTGACAGCGGGTATCCTTGTATCACGCAGCTGGAGATATTAAAGGGCGACGACAACTTGCTGTAAGCCCTCACTCTGCCTGAGCTACGCGCATATAATGCTCGGATAATATCCACATATTTCTCATGGACACCTTTCCTGAGTAGACAGTCCCAAAGTGCATGTCTATCCAGCGAATCGAATGCACCTGTGATATCGAGGAACACGACAATGGTGGGCCGCCAATATATGTGACGGTGCTCCAACAACCGACGCAAGGTGAAGATGTGGTCAATGCAGCTACGACCTCGACGAAATCCGGCTTTCTTCTCACGAATCTGGCTTTTACGAGTGCTAATCATTCTGTGAAGGATGAGAGAGTCAAGCTATTTGGTGGCGATGGAGATCAGACTGATTCCTCTACGGCTGCCGCATTCCGATCCTGAGCCTACCTTGAAAATTGGGATTATAACGGAGCGGTTCCAGTCGGTTGGGACAGTTTCCTGCTCCCACAGTCTCACTAGTAACTCGTGTAAATCATCCACAAGAGCAGGTCCCCCTAATGTAAAGAGTGCTGGAGGAAGATCATTAGGTCCCGCGGCTTTATTTAACTTCAACTGTTCGATCTCACGTTCGACTTCTGAGCGAGAGGGTGGATCTAAATGGACAGCCCAGGGAGCGGGGCGATCAGTGGCCGGCGAGTAATCTAACAATTCCAACCGATTAAATTGCCTTTCAAAGTGCTCAGCCCAACGCTCTAAGCGTTTTGCTAAGTTGTGGATAGCCTGTCCACCCTCGTCACGTATAGTTTCACTAACATCAGGTCTCCTGCTGCCCGTTTCCCGTATCAGACGGAATAACTCACGATGGCTACCAAGGGCAGCGGCCATTTCCATCTCTGATGCACGATGAGACCACCAGGATTCGCGGGCTCTCTTCAGGCTAGCACGGAGTTTTGTCCGGAGCTCTTTGCGAATTTCCTTGTGTTCGCTTCCAGCCGGAATATGCCAGCAAGCATCTATAAGTTCCATAGACTGTGAAGAGACCCAATGTCCATGTTGGTGATTAGACACACCACATGAGGATTTACCCGCTGTTAGTAAGGTCTGGTGAATATGAGACCAGTATGCTTCAATTGCATTCAGTGAGCGTTTATCCAACTCGGATGACAGCGTAATTTGATAGGCGTTCAGAACAGCTGGCTTCACCAGTCTGCCGGTGTCAATGCGCTCACAACGTCGTCGCGGGCGTCCGCCAAAGCGCATCCGCAGGTCAGCAAATACAAGTGCATGGTCGGTGTCTACACCTGTGCTCCAAATCGAGCGACAGTTCTGGATGCAGCCTCTCCATCGGTAACTTATCGCAATGTGATCGATTTGCGTCCATAGCTGGTTCGAGGCTGGTGGGCACCAAGTCACCCTCCGGCGGGTGCTGTGTCGGAAATTAGTGCTCTCAAGAAATAAGCGAGCATCCTCACACAAATGAAGTAACCGCTCACCGTTATCATTACGGGAGCATATCCCATGTTGGCCACCCAGATGTAGCTCATCTGTGGATAATTTTCCAACTTGAGCGTTCAGATCCCCAGTCAGCACTACAGTATCCGAGCTTCTTTTGTGGCTGTGGAGCTCGGTCAGATGACGATAGAAGTCGTCTTTTACCGAATCATCGCCACAGTTTGTCGGTGCATAGGCAGCGATAACGAATAGACACCTGTTAGTCCCACGCGACTTCGTAGTTTTGAATGAGCCAGCCAATCGGACCGCACACATCCGGCAACTGATTGGAATCCAATCAAGCAGAGTAGCTTCAACCCGGGGACTCAGGGCAATACCAACATCGGCTTGGCCGGTGCTCGAAGCTGCATCGTCAACGGATAGACTCAATGAGAAAGTGCTGCTAGTGTCACTTGAAGGGGATCGCAGAGTGAGTACAGAGCTCGAGTCTTGCAGATCATGCCCTGGTACGTTGTCGTTTTTTCGTGAAGTTTTCAGGAGGCGCAAAAAGTGTCGCCGACCGTTGGCAATGGAGATATCATTCAGATAATTCAGTATGGCCACTCTAAATCAGAAGGCTTAG